AAAATATAAACATCATCATCCATGCATCATATGCCCACAATAAATCAAAAAACACATTAAACATAATTAAAATGAAACATAAGGGCGTTACCGAAAATATTGATCATTATCAATATTCAACTAATTGAAATTGAAATATTAATATTGATATATCTAATTATTATATTAGATTTAAAAAGTACCGATGTTTTTTAGTATTAAAAAATATTGATATTTTTTATTTTTAAAAAATATTGATGTATATAATCATTATATTAAAAAATATTTGATATTTTATTTTTGATTGAAGTATTTTTTGTCTAAGTATAATATTTTAAACTTAAAGGGCCTAAGTAATATATGTTTACAAACTTTAGGGGGGTCTGAAAATAATTTATTGACGGATATATTTACAGCAGGGTCTTTCTGTTTCGCTTGTACAAACTTTAGGGGTTTGTATATAATATTTCAAATATTAAGGATTTAAATGATTAAGTGATAAACTTTAAGGAGTGTGAGTGTAATTCTCCAAAAAAAATTGATTCATCGACAACAAAGTTTTTTATAACTCTGTTTGAGAGTCGGTCTTTCAGAGTTCAATCTTCAGACGATGTGTATAGAGAGAGAGAGAGAGAGAGAGAGAGAGTGGTTCGATACGTTGTGTATCGACGATCATTGGAAGACTGGTTCGCGACTACTTCTCTATCTATCGCGACTAATTCGCAGCAAAGAAGATCAGGAAAAAAAAATAGAAAAAGAAGAAGAAGATAAAGCGGTATGGGGATCTCTCTGATCTGTATTCAATTCTACAGGTATGTCATACAAATGCTTACAATCTTTGTGGTAGTGGGCCTTTGATTTTCGGACTGGTTGAGAGTCTTTTACAGATGTGAGTCTTGAATTCTTCATCTTTTTCCTTTTTATTTTGGATTCTTGCTATTTATTCAAGATTTTGGATATTTTCCACAAAATTCAATCATACCGGACCGATCCCGCTATGAATCGTCCGACTCATACCGAGTTGTTACTGAGTTGCNGGAAATAATTTATTGACGGATATATTTACAGTAGGGTCTTTCTGTTTCGCTTGTACAAACTTTAGGGGTTTGTTTATAATATTTCAAATATTAAGGATTTAAATGATTAAGTGATAAACTTTAAGAAGTGTGAGTGTAATTCTCCAAAAAAAAATTGATTCATCGACAACAAAGTCTTTTATAACTCTGTTTGAGAGTCGGTCTTTCAGAGTTCAATCTTCAGACGATGTGTATAGAGAGAGAGAGAGAGAGAGAGAGAGAGAGAGAGAGAGGGGTTCGATACGTTGTGTATCGACGATCATTGGAAGACTGGTTCGCGACTACTTCTCTATCTATCGCGACTAATTCGCAGCAAAGAAGATCAGGAAAAAAAAATAGAAAAAGAAGAAGAAGATAAAGCGGTATGGGGATCTCTCTGATCTGTATTCAATTCTACAGGTATGTCATACAAATGCTTACAATCTTTGTGGTAGTGGGCCTTTGATTTTCGGACTGGTTGAGAGCCTTTTACAGATGTGAGTCTTGAATTCTTCATCTTTTTCCTTTTTATTTTGGATTCTTGCTATTTATTCAAGATTTTGGATATTTTCCACAAAATTCAATCATACCGGACCGATCCCGCTATGAATCGTCCGACTCATACCGAGTTGTTACTGAGTTGCTCCGATTTGTGCCGATACGTCCGAGTCTGACCGAGATATCGCTGAGTCAAGTGAAAATCGAGATTTTTGCATAACGGGTATCGATATCGGATCGGTATGGGCCGAGTCAGATACGACTCGGCCGATACTTTGAACCATGCTTGCGACTTTAGTCTGTAAATAGCTTCTTTTTTTTTTCCAGGGAAGTTGTCTGTAAATAGCTTTGAAGGCAAACATGTCGTTTTTTTTTTCTCCATCCCCTGTAGAAAGATCTCATCTCAGATCTATGACTCAGATAAACCTTCCATTCCAAACTATCTTTCTTATCCCACACAAACTTGGAGATTCATAAAATAGTCCTCCACTAACTCAAACTCCAGATTTTGCACCATCCTGCCAATAGTACTCGTCTCTCTCTCTCTCTCTCTCTCTAAGATAATGTTTTACTATATTCGAATTACAGTCTTTCATTTCCTGCAGTACTAGGCAACGGCCCCTACACAAAAAAATGGCATAAGCTCATCCTCTGCATTTTCCCCAAGGTGAAGCCTTTTGCTTAGGAAAATGCTCACCTCACTTCCTTACGCCTTTCCAAAGCACCAACATGTGAAGTCTAAGATCATTCNTAAGATAATGTTTTACTATATTCGAATTACAGTCTTTCATTTCCTGCCCCTACACAAAAAAATGGCATAAGCTCATCCTCTGCATTTTCCCCAAGGTGAAGCCTTTTGCTTAGGAAAATGCTCACCTCACTTCCTTACGCCTTTCCAAAGCACCAACATGTGAAGTCTAAGATCATTCACCCACTCTATCCCATAGGACTCGTACTTTTATCTGTCTCCTTCAGTTCTCTTACATTATTTACCTTTGTTCTCAAAGAATGCAAAGGCTCTTTGGTGGTATTTAATCTGTGGTTTTTGTTGCTATTGGAAATTTGAACCGCAGCCCGTTATGAAGGAAAAGTTTAATGTAATAAAATTCTGACCCCTGAATTCTATTGACAATATTGCTACAACTCCTTTCACGAAATCATGAAAACCGTTCACAAGAGGCTTGCAATTAATGTTTCCTTATCTAGTCGTCTCTTTTTGTGTGCAATCTTTCTTCACCTAATTTTTAGTTTTCACTTGTCATGATTATCTTCATGTTTATTCAGGTTGGTGTTTTGTCCGCTTGTAGTCATACTGGCTTGATAGAAAGAGGCACAGAGTATTTTTATTCAATGAATCAAGATTATGGCATAACTGCAAATTCNTGAGTTTTCACTTGTCATGATTATCTTCATGTTTATTCAGGTTGGTGTTTTGTCCGCTTGTAGTCATACTGGCTTGATAGACAGAGGCACAGAGTATTTTTATTCAATGAATCAAGATTATGGCATAACTGCAAATTCAAAGCATTATACTTGCATGATTGATCTTCTGGGTCGAGCTGGTCGCCTAGATGAGGCTCAAAATGTGATAAAAAATATGCCTTTTGAACCAGATGCTGCAACATGGGGTGCTCTACTTGGTGCGAGTAGGATTCACGGCAGTACTGAACTAGGAGAAAAGGCTGCTGAGATGATTTTCAAGATGGAGCCCAATAATGCAGGGATGTATGTCCTCCTTTCAAATTTATATGCGGCATCAGGTAGATGGCGTGAGGTTGGGAAGATGAGATTGAAAATGAGGGATACAGGCATAAGGAAAGTGCCTGGGTATAGTTGGGTTGAAGTGCAGAACAAGATCCACACATTTTCAGTTGGGGACTCTATCCATCCTGAGAGGGATACAATATATGCCTACTTAGAAGAGTTGGATTTATGGATGAAGCGGGATGGCTATGTTTCTGCTACAAAATTGGTTTTACACGATGTTGAAGAGGAGGAAAAAGAGCATATGCTCAAGTATCACAGCGAAAAATTAGCTGTTGCATTTGGAATTCTCAAAATACCGGCTGGGAGACCAATCCGGGTGATGAAAAACTTACGTGTGTGTGAAGACTGCCACACTGTGATCAAACACATATCCAAGATTGTGGGAAGATTGATAATTTTGAGGGATTCAAACCGCTTTCACCACTTCAGTGGTGGTGTGTGTTCTTGTGGAGATTATTGGTAAAGAAAAGGAGACAACAACAAGAGAAAAAGAAACGAGTGAAATATATTAAGTTACCCTCTGAGACTTCCAAATCCATTCAGTCAACTTACAAAGCAAAAAATTAAAGCTGATGCTCTTGCCCTTGTTTGGAAGAACACCCGTTTCCAAAAAAGGTTTATCGGGAGAAAATGGATTGGTATCGGAGTTGGTCAAAAACTGGAGATGATTGCGGCCGATTCAAATTTTTGTATACTTTGGGTTGGACTACTTTATAAAGGTACCATGATTCAGAACAAAGAAAAAATCTTCATAAAAAAATTATCACAAAAAGCACGAAGAGCAGTAAGGGATCAGCTGATTGTATAGAACTGGAGAGATCTGAAAATTTGTTATTGGATACAGCAGCATTGCCCTCTACAAAAGCAAGTCTTTTCATGGACTTCATCCTTCAAAATTGGTTTCAAATTTACTTAGGGGTTGCTTGATTGTCTTACTACTACAACGTTATTGCACTAATACAGGAAAGTGGCATCAGAAGTTATGCTTTTTTCTATCAAAATTCTCTTGTTCAGTATGCAAGGATTCCATCAGCATTCTGGAAAAGACAGCATCCAGCAGGCAGCAGCATTCTGGTGCAAAAGCCAGTTTTCTTGGTGGCCATCACGAGCCTTGCATCTTTTGCATGACTTCCACTGACAACTGGTGCAATGGTACGAGAGTCTATGCCTTTTCCTACCAAAATAATTTTTGTGCTGTAACCTTGGATAGTTGTGAATATGATCTGATTATAGCACATTTTAAACACAAGGAAGACTTGGAGCAAACGATTTTTTCCCACTATATCATTTTGATTGCTTGCTGGGATAGATTTGCATCTATTATAATTTGACTCGACCTCTTCATATTTAAATTGTGCCAATACACTATTATATTTGGCACTACAGCACTCTGATGTTCATGTTGCCTTGGACTTCAGCCACATAATTACCACATCCACCATAATCAATTCTTCCAAGGATACACCAATACTTTCATCATGCAAAGCATAATAGAGCAACTCTACGGCTGGCCAAGGCCCACTCTTTAGTACACGAAGATCGGGTGGCAAACTTAACATTTAGAGAGGCTCTTTCCGAGATCAAAGCATAATTATACATATTCATAGATACTTAGGATAATATTCTATCTTATCTAGGCACATATTGCACTAATTTTCAGCAAGATATAGAAACAAATTCATCTGAGTAGTTGAGAAACCTACAACTACGCCAATCATATGGCAATGAAAGATCAGCCTTCGTGTCTTCGTATTCTCTTCCGTTGACAATCGTTGGTTTCACAGCTACGCTTTATGCCATGGCTAGGATCAATGTTTGTGACACTAGAATTGAAAGATACTCTCAACGGCTATCACGATGAGAAAAAGGAAAATTAATCAACTTAATTGATCAAAGGGCAATGCTTTTTCTAGGGTACTATTTCATGAGTATAAGTTGTATGTGAAGGTTTCTTCTGCCTTGGTTTCTCAAACTGCCAAGGAGGTAGATGACTTACCGGAATGTTTGTCCGTTGATGTGAAGAAATTCCTGAACACATGACCATTACAAAAAGATTAGTTTCTGGCCAAGTTTAGCTTCTGTACCTTCACTATTTAATGTTGATCAAGACCTCTATTACCTGGCTGAACAGTTGTGTATAATGCAGCATGAAGTTTGCCCTTGGACTGGACAATTTGACTGAGAGTTCCTGAATCTGATCCTTCAGAATACATTCCAGATGTCAACATAAGATTATCTAAACACACTTATTTTGAGAGAGAGAGAGAGAGAGAGGTGTGTTTCCGATGTACCTAGGAGTGATTGAATGGCATGGCGTGCTACTAGCTGTTCTGCCACTTTCTTGCTCCCGGCCACATTGCCAGTGTAAGTTTTACCATCAAACACCAATTTAGAGACAAAGCCCGGGCGTGACCATTCTGCGGATGTAGTAGTAATATATTTCGGAACATCCACGTTCTTCTTGANCCAGTGTAAGTTTTACCATCAAACACCAATTTAGAGACAAAGCCCGGGCATGACCATTCTGCGGATGTAGTAGTAATATATTTCGGAACATCCACGTTCTTCTTGACAGAAAATTCATGTAAGATAGACTTGCAAAGTACTGGATCCTAAAATAAAGGAACAAGAAGAGGACTCTATTAATGTATAGTTATAAGAATGTACAGTCTTATTGGATTTACTTGTTTGGTTGGTTGGTTGTGATGCTGCCCACGGAGAGACTCAATAGCATACCACATGCTAAAGCTAATAGATTACCACGAGGATCAAGCTAATAGACACCAAAGCATAGAAGTGGTACTAGCAGCAACTGTGGTTGTAGTAATAACAAGAACTTATGCTACTAAATGCAATTATGGAACAATTAGTGACAAAAGAATATGGAGGGTAACTATTATTTAAGTTGCATGACGAATCAGAACATGGCTCAAGCCCGAGACTTATTAGTCGTGGGATTGTGGAATGGGACAAGGAGCCAACATGATTCGGACGACTCAGCCAGGTCAACCAAGGTCCAAGCCAAACAAACATCGAGAGAGACTTGTGATTACACAAAATGCGACCTTATTGGAACCGAAAGTGCTGATTTGAACCATGAACCAGACACATTTCTTCCACCAGATCTACATAGCAGGACAAGATTGCACAGGGTAAAAATAAACTTATATATACCTGGGGGACAAGTGACAATCCTTCATCCTTCGTCATTTTTGATATGCACTTCAATGCATGTTTTGCAACATCCTTCTTTGCTTCCTTTCTATGTGAAAATGTTAGCCTAGATGTGTACTTTGTTCCGGCAACCAATACAGTTGATCTAAACTTTGGCGCATGTGAAAACCCTTCATTAACAGTTTGATAAACTGGAAGTGGTAAGCCTGATTTTTGGGTATATTCTCAGTCGGTTTTTACACCTCAGCTGCTCTGGGAGAGCTGAAAATAAGGCATAAGTATCCAGTCAGAGCATGTACTGTTCCATCCTTGAAAAAAGGTCAAGCTAAAGAACACTTGTGGTCTCACAAATTCCTATTATCTCTTGTGAATACATAAAGAAAATGTAAGACTAGGTTAGCTAAGGGTTGCAACCGGAATAAATAATAGGATTCTAGAAGATTACATATATCTAGAGTCTTAAGACTAGGTTAGCTAATGTTAATGAAGCAGCATGTCAGCATCCGGAGTGAGAACTACTATATGATGTGTTTGTAAGAGCAATAAGAGTCAAACTTCGTAGAATTTGTTTTGAGAAGAAGCATGTTCAAATAATAAAGTTCGAACTTGCTATATAAAGCTAAATGTCNAAGTTGCATGACGAATCAGAACATGGCTCAAGCCCGAGACTTATTAGTCGTGGGATTGTGGAATGGGACAAGGAGCCAACATGATTCGGACGACTCAGCCAGGTCAACCAAGGTCCAAGCCAAACAAACATCGAGAGAGACTTGTGATTACACAAAATGCGACCTTATTGGAACCGAAAGTGCTGATTTGAACCATGAACCAGACACATTTCTTCCACCAGATCTACATAGCAGGACAAGATTGCACAGGGTAAAAATAAACTTATATATACCTGGGGGACAAGTGACAATCCTTCATCCTTCGTCATTTTTGATATGCACTTCAATGCATGTTTTGCAACATCCTTCTTTGCTTCCTTTCTATGTGAAAATGTTAGCCTAGATGTGTACTTTGTTCCGGCAACCAATACAGTTGATCTAAACTTTGGCGCATGTGAAAACCCTTCATTAACAGTTTGATAAACTGGAAGTGGTAAGCCTGATTTTTGGGTATATTCTTGCAGTCGGTTTTTACACCTCAACTGCTCTGGGAGAGCTGAAAATAAGGCATAAGTATCCAGTCAGAGCATGTACTGATCCATCCTAAAAAAAGGTCAAGCTAAAGAACGCTTGGGGTCTCACAAATTCCTATTATCTCTTGTGAATACATAAAGAAAATGTAAGACTAGGTTAGCTAAGGGTTGCAACCGGAATAAATAATAGGATTCTAGAAGATTACATATATCTAGAGTCTTAAGACTAGGTTAGCTAATGTTAATGAAGCAGCATGTCAGCATCCAGAGTGAGAACTACTATATGATGTGTTTGTAAGAGCAATAAGAGTCAAACTTCGTAGAATTTGTTTTGAGAAGAAGCATGTTCAAATAATAAAGTTCGAACTTGCTATATAAAGCTAAATGTCATGTGATTGACATTACTGTACATATTCTAACAATGTTGATTGTGATCATTAAGAATCAATTGTCACAATAACATGGAAAGCTAAGAACAAGTAAGGGTGTATCTAATTTAACAAATAAAGCGAGAACACAAGTTTGTCTTTCTTTTGTACCCACATAATAAATATCTTAGTCACCATTTTCAAAGTATCACAAGAGAGATAGATGTAGAAGAAGATAAAAGTCACAGAGTATGACATTTCAGCTATCTGCTCTGAGAGGTTAAAGTATATGTTTGTCCTTTGATCCTTTTTCCCTCTGATAGTAAAGTTTAAATGTAAATAGTTTCAAATAGTGAGATAATGGTTTGTTATTATCCTTGATTCACCTCTTCATGATAGCTTGGTTTATTTTATGTATTACTAGAGATAAAAACATTGCTACAATCCAAAATCACTATTGCATAACTTGGCAGCGGAGCTAGTACATCTATCAATTTTGACCTACTACTTTACTGATCATACAAGGGGTTTGCATATAAATATTATTAACAATCAACAATGGGATTGGGTGGAGGGAGAGGTGGAAGGAAATTCCTTACTGGCATTGAATGGAGAAGGTGCCATTTTTTCGGAGCTCTCCAAAGGGTCATGAAATTTCACTACCACTGAAACATAGAAAAAATGGGTTTTTAGACCCTTTTGCTTCTTTTTTTTTGGGGTGAATATTTATGTGAGCAGACATTCAATGAGCATGAGGAGACTGTTGATTCCCTTGTGGGTCATGCTGGGTCTGTTTCTTTACTGCTGTTACTCTAGTTTCTAGAATTTGGTTTAGTTACGAGTCACATTGTGGACCTCTCAGCTTTGAGGATGGTTCTAGAACCGCACTCCCAATTCTAAGAACTTGGTTATCCAAAATAATTAAAATGTGATGGTCATTGCGTAGTTGGAGAATAAACAGGTTAGTGGGGATATCTTGAAGTATTCAAGTGATTTTAAAATGTATAGGTGGTGAGTTTTGATTACGCACTGATTAATTAAATAAATCAGAATTCTATAAATTTAGAAAAGAGGAAGAGAAGTTTTCTCAACCACCTCTTCAATAATTTGTTTGTTTTATATATGCAGATAGATAGATTTTCTGTAGCACTTTCAGTATGACAAACCATTAAACCAGCTATGCTGAGGACCATGGGTTAGCCCCTTGATGGTTTGGCAGAAGCATGGCATGCAGGTGACTTGTCCAATGGCTCCCCAAAGACGAGGTAGGGATGTGTTTAGCTAATTAAGCAACTCCAACGTGTATGAAGTCTCCTAAAAAAACTTGAAGGCGTGTTAGCGTTGTTGTTTAAATGGTTTGAGGTAATTTCTTCGATGATTAGTAAATTCGGTTGTTAGACATTGCACGTTGACATAATGATGACTCAATTTAGACTTAATAGTTTAATAATAAGAAATTAAATAGAGTGGAGATGGATATTTATAGGGGTGACAGTTGCCCTCACCTAGAGAAGTTTGCAGACTTAATTATACATTAATCATTCTTTTAAAACATATATATTATTTTACCCTCTTTTTTTTTTTTACTTTATTTATAAAATTATGGGGATTTTAAAAAACGTGGTTAAAAAACACGAATTCACTGAAAACTGTGGGGGGGAAAAAACAGGCCTTTTGCAGTGCAGTCCCAATTAAAAAAAAAAAAGTGTTTGTCAAACGCGCCTTGTACCCTTGCTCTTGTTTCTGGGTTTTACAGTTGCAGTCATCATGCCCATGCTGAGGACCACAAATCACACACCTATCCAACTTCCAGACAAAAATATTACAAGAAGGCCTACTCGTTCTGCGATGGACAAAGTCGAGAGCTAAAGGATATGGGTTGTGTTGATCTTAAAAGAAGGTCAAGACTCAAGAGGCCTCAAAGATAAGATGAGCTAAGTCTATTCTAATTAGGAGACACATACAGATAATTATTTTATTTTTAGCCAAGTCTTCCAGATTTCTGCCAACAATAGACCACCACTGCCTGCAGAATTCATTAGGAATGAAAAGGAATATACCAATTATAGAAGGCGTGTTTGGCAAACCTGTTTTTTACTTTTTTTATTTGGACTCACTTCAAAGTTTTACGTGAAAACATGATTTTAACCACACTTCAAAAATTATGTAATTTAGAAAATGAGTTCAATAGAACCATGAAACAGTAAATATGTTCTAAAAGAAGGGTAAATGTGTACTTAACTAGAAGTTTGACAGGCATAGGAGATTAGGGTCAGGCCATTGCAGTTGCCTGCAGACCCTCCTCCCTCTGACCCAGGCTTGTACACTGCTAAATTTCTGTCATATAGACTATAAATTTTGTAGTAGAGAGCGAGAAAGAGGTAAAACTAGTGTGAATGGCATCAACCGAAAGAGATGATAGATCCATCATTAATCCATTGAACATGGTTGTCGTTCTTGATGATCGAATCTAAGAAACTGACTTAAGCTACACTGTTGTCCTTTGCTCCTTATCAGTTTATCATCAAACAAGTCACTCTCTCATTAATATGGAAAACAAATACAAAGTTTCTGCTTTTCTAATCCATAAATGATACAATCACATGTTAATTGGTAGAGCATTTCTTCTTCCTAATCCATACACAACTATAACGACAGAGCATATCTTCTTCCTCATACTGCAACATAACAAATGGTCAGCTTCTACCATAAACAAAATGAAGATCTTCAGCAGCAGCTATTATAAAGATCCACCATAATGAAGGAGTGAATGAGCAGAGCACATAATCAAACCATCTCACTCTGGTAAATGCTCTAATGTACACTCAAGCTTTAAGACCTGCAACTTCTTGGGTCAAACCATCAACCTCACCTGGTTGCTCTGCAATCGGTTCTTCCTGCAAAATGACAATAACAGCAGGGGCAATATTACAATAAGTTTGTTCTTCAAAAAATACATTTGCACATGAGTTGAAGTCCGAGTATTTTTTGAGGTGTTTTNCACCTGGTTGCTCTGCAATCGGTTCTTCCTGCAAAATGACAATAACAGCAGGGGCAATATTACAATAAGTTTGTACTTCAAAAAATACATTTGCACATGAGTTGAAGTCCGAGTATTTTTTGAGGTGTTTTTCAATTTATTTTCCTCACTTTGGGATAAGGTTGTGGTGAGCTGACTACGTTGAGTATTGTCTTATAAATAGTTTGGAAAAAGACTTTGGTGAGTTTTGCTTTCACATATTACTTTGACTTTTTCATACGCTCTTTTTTTTTGGTGCTGGTTGTTGTTAGGAACAAAGTGGGTAAAGGGAAATCATGAAGAAGTTTAGGCGTGAAAGAATGTCTTGTAAGAATGACTTATCGAGTCACTNAGTACGTTGAGTATTGTCTTATTAGTTTGGAAAAAGACTTTGGTGAGTTCAGGTGAGTTTTGCTTTCACATATTACTTTGACTTTTTCATACGCTCTTTTTTTTTGGTGCTGGTTGTTGTTAGGAACAAAGTGGGTAAAGGGAAATCATGAAGAAGTTTAGGCGTGAAAGAATGTCTTGTAAGAATGACTTATCGAGTCACTTTTAAGGCCATTAAATACGTTCATGAGATCTTGTTATGGCTAAATCGGGTTTTTTGACTGGGCTCTTTCACTTTTTTGTGGTGATTATAACATCGCATCTGACTACTTCCTAAATGCCAACGTCAAAAAGTTAGTTTAAGTTAATCATGAGAGTCATCCGCCAAAATTAATGGCTTCCTTTCTTTTCTTATTCTGCACCTATAGAAATGAGATGATATTCTATATGGCATGCTGCTGTTTCATCCAAAATTGTGAATTGCGAGAAAATTGTCATATCAGTGAGCATCCAACATTTATTTCAGTAAATCAGTGAATGAAAAATGAACAATCGGAAACCATTCAAAGCAATGCATGTTACCTCTGAATCTCTTCCTTGCATGCCTATGCATTTGGAAGCACTAATACTAGCGCTCTTTAACAAACTACGAGCACTGTAGTTTGGCTTACTTGGTCCATTTTGTGCATTTAAATTTGCATTTTCTGATCCATCAGTCTGTCTGGGAATCTGAAGACCAGTAGCAACTGAAACTGCAGTTTGCTTTTCCAAATCATTATTTTGGGCGGTAGTTTCATCCTTGGGTGCGGGAACTCGCTCTCTGAGAAAAGACAAGTAGAAGGAATACGTATTAATACAGTATCAAACTGTTTGAAACAGGGGCCTGTAAGATAAAGAACAAAATCAGACAAGCAAGATATGCTGATAGAGGAGCAAATTGAACAAATCAGGTTTCAGTGAACACACAAATGCTGGGGTTTGTAAAGTAATTATTAATATAATATCACAACGGACAGTGAGTCTCTAAATCAGTAAACTTTTCAGCTCCTGAACCAAGTAAAACAAAATGCCCACATTTCTATAAAATAACGTACCTAGGCAACGAAGCATGATGCTTTAGTAGTGGGGTACTTCTTTCACCTTTACCATAATGCTCCTCAAGATGGGCAAATTGCCGCTTGAANATAAAATAACGTACCTAGGCAACGAAGCATGATGCTTTAGTAGTGGAGTACTTCTTTCACCTTTACCATAATGCTCCTCAAGATGGGCAAATTGCCGCTTGAACCGATCAACACCACTAAATAAACATTAGACGTTAACATTGGATGAGTATATAGAAAATCTGAACAAATAATACTTCACAGCAACCTTCTTTTGTTGACATTTTAAGTAGTAGCATGCAAGTGAATTGCATGTTTTCGTTAAGGAAAAGGTATTCAAAAGTTTCCAGGAATCGACAGAGGGCATAAAATGTCAAAAAAAGCAGTAAAATGACAAATAAAGGTCGAGTTCTTGAGTGTCAAAAGTTTCTTTTAACAGAAAAACAATGAATAAAATCCTAGTGTTTGGTGCAACAAGGACACGCCTCTTATTTGATTTGGAATAAAAAAGCAGTCTAGATCTCCCAGACATTGAAAGCAGCAGTTCAGCATAAAAAATTTCAGTTTTGAAGTTGAATATGAGGAAAAAAATGTTTTCCCAACCCAGGAACCAAATCCATTGAACCAGCAACCAATTAAGGCAGCACAAGCAGGAGTTCAGCAACAAATAATGGATGTTGATATCACTGCATCGTATAGCCACAATTGGTTAAGAAGTGGATTCAATAGATTATGTGTCGGAAAGTAGACTTTGGACTTTGCGCACCATACGAAGATCCATTCCAATTACTAAAGACTAGTTGAATTTTCGTTTTAGCGGATTTTTTTAGCCCACCCGCCAACCTTATCGGGTCGGACATGAGACCAGATTCGTCTCAATAGCTCTCCGAACCAGTGCGAGTACTTTGGGATCGGAATGAAGCGTAAAGAGGTGGGTCCGGGCAGCATAAGTTAGTTAGTTATTGATCGATCATTGAGAAATAGTCACCAAGTTTCGAGATGCAGAGGTTCAAGTATTCAATACCATCTATTTGTCTAGAGCCAGTTGACCGAGCTGATATACCAGCCAACACGGTAGGAGTGGGAGAATGAGAAGAAGATTATGCAGAAGTAGCGGATGAATCAATACCATCAATAGGAGTTTGAGTTGCTTAAGCAATATGTAGCGATCACATGTTGTGGTTAACCCCTAACCATACAACACAGTTAGAAGTAAAGACGTCTAGAGAGGGGCCAGATATATCTTGTCCCAAATCCCCTCCCCAACTACGGGCTTAAAAAAATTCCAGGAATGACGTTCAAGTCATGAACTTCAAATATTCAATGGGATTAAGTTATATTCACGGATGCCCCATGAAACCTATGATTTACGGGCATCCAATGAATAGCGGACAACTCAGGTAAAATATCCCTGACCAAAAAAAAAAAAAGGTAAAATATCAACCAACAAATTTCTGGCTCTCCCCTTCTCTACCTCATGTTGTCCCCCTTTTCTGCATCTCTATATGTCTTCTTCTCTCAAGCACACCTCTATTACCCCTTACCCACCACCAGCCGACTCCCCCCCCCCCCCCCCCCCCCCCCCCCCCCCCCCCCCCC